ATCGTCCGCATCATCTAGGTCAACTAACCTTTCACCAGGCAGCACTTCAAAGCCTACATTGTGGGATTCCGCAAGGGAACACTCCATGATAGAATCCACGGCGAAATTGAGCAAAAATGGGGGAATCGGACATCCCTGACGAACGCCACTTGTGGTTGGAAAGCTATCCGATCGGCCACCGTAAACCCTGATGCGGCCTCTAGTGTTTGAGTATAGTGCACGTAGGATGTTCACATATTTCGTGGGAACACCTTTCCGCGCAAGTATTTTGAACAGCATCGATCGATCGACCGAATCGAACACACTCTTGAAATCGAGGGACGCAACTATTGTCGGTCTGCGGTATGCGTGGCGCTGCTCTAACACCTGCCGCAACGTTAATATATGGTCTATACAGCCACGCCTTGGGCGGAAATCTGCCTTCTCTCTCCTTATCCAAGATTCCCGTTCTACTGTGAGGCAGCGAACGAGAATCGAGGCCCGTAATTTTGTCACAACTGGCGTTAGGCTAATACCCATGTGGTTAGAACAGTCTGTGCAACTGCCCTAATTGTAAATTGCCCACTATAATCTATTCGCTCCAATGAGCCGGGACACTTCCTTCCAGATAGCTTCGGATAAGGATATCAGTGCTTTGCAGTGGACCTCACCTCCATCCTTAAATAGTGCAGGTGGGAGGGAATCCGGGCCAGCGGCACGAAAACGTATTGAGGGCTGTGATCGCGTTTCAGACCTCGGCCTCCGACGGAGCCTCTAAACTAAATGTCCATGGCTCGGCCTGAATCACCTGAGTAGGAAGAGGTCCGGGAGCAAGGGGCCAGCTGAACTGATCTTGAAATTGTTCCGCCCAACGAGCTATGTGGCTCTCCTTATAGTGTATCAGCTCACCCTCGCTGTCTCTGATTGTCTCAATGACGTCTGGTTTTCTGGGACCAGTGGTGTGGATTGGCTGGAAGAGCTTACAGCAATTGCCTACTGCTCCTGCCTCCTCCATTTTTTGTACTACTTCGCGAATCAACCTTAGCTGATGTCGTCAAACGGGCTGCACATAAAAGGCTGTTCACCGGAATCTAATCAACCAACGATGGCTCAGCCTTGGAGCTTGGAATGATACCTACACCAGCTTGACCGGTTGGTGCTGCATGGGCGTCTCCGGACGCGTGCAACCAATAACGGGAGGATAAGCCGGGTGCAGTTAATTCAATAATTCCGTTAGGATCATTGATCCGAGTTTCGGACACACAACGTACATCAATATCCGATGTGTCCAAGGTGCGTGCGAATGCAGCCTGTTGACATGTTTGTCTTAGAGTGTGAACCTTGAATGTCGCCATGGAAACAGGACAGCGTGGCCTTATAAGGGAGTGTTGCCGATAAGCATCCGGTGCGTATTGCGAGAAGGTGGCTGCAGACGGTTCCACTCTAATGGCACTTCGGTTGCTGTCAGTGAAGCCGTGAATTATAGAAGGAAGGTTAGTAATGGGGGTCTGGATGGGAGTAAGAGAAACAGGTGGAAAAAAAGAAGGGAGGCGCCAGCAGTAGCATGTTTTCGCTTATCCGCCTTGCTGTATGCAGCAGATAAGGCGACCCTTGATAATCTGCGCGACGGCCGATGCAGGATGAAGTTTATGTTTGGAGAAAATGTCGTATAGCTTTCCGACAACAAGTGGCGTTCTTCAAGATTGTCTAGCTTCCCCCATGTTGTTCCGCTTCGTCGTGGGCTTCATCTCGGAGTGTTCCCCTGCGGAGTCTTGCGATGCATGGATTGAGGTTCTGCCTGGTGGAAGGGTTTTTGATCTTGATTATGCGGACAATATCTTCTTGCTGTTTATCGATGATAGGGAGGCCCAATCTACCCTGAATAACCTCTTTATGTGGTCCTATGTTTTGGTATGCGCTTCGCACCTTCAAAGTGCAGTGTTGCTGCAGGACCATCAGCTAGTTGGTGATCCCTTGACCCTTGATAGTGAGGAACTCGAGGTTGTTGATCCATTCACTGCCCTTGGCAGCTGTATCAGCAACGTGGGCGCAAGGCAAGTGAAGTCAGTTCACTAATTACAAACGCCATCACTACTTTTTTGATTCTCCGACATTTTTGGCGACAAATAAGGTTTGCCTCCTTTTGATAGGTCGTATGTACATGGCCACAGTGAGCGTCGTCCTGCTCTATGGGAGTGAAACTTGACCCCTTCGGTCTGATGATCTGAGGCCCATTCAAGTTTTCGATCATCGCTGTCTGCGAAGCATTGCTGGTGTCGGATGACACCAGCGTGTCTGCAACGATGATGTTCGTAGGTAAGTACTAGATAGTGATAATCATGCTAGATCCTTACAACAGACAGCACAGAATATGTTGCGTGGACTAGGACACGTGCTACGTATGCCTGGTCACCGCTTACCTAAGAGGGCCTTGTTTTATCTGCCAGGCTTAGGGTGGTGTAAGACTCGAGGCGCACAAAAGTTCACTTGGCAGCAGGAAGTAAAGTCGCTGACGACTAAACTAGGTCCCGTTAATCCGTCCCGGCTTCCGGGCTGGAGTCCACGTGAATCGCCTTGTGCTTGGCTCGATACTTTACAGGACATCGCTCGCAGTAGAAAACGGTGGCGCGTCGGCTGCCGTCTGTTCGGACTACCTGTGTAAAGTCTGTTTGGTGCTGAGTTTTCTGCGGGGTAGTGGCTGATTATGACACAGGGCAGTGAAAGCCGCAAGGAAGCTGTCTCGCTGATGCCGCCTTGTCTTTGCACGATAGCCAGCTGTTTGTGACGATATGTTGTTGACAAGTTATAGGCGCCTCGTCCCTGAATGTTTGTTTAAGGTTTTCAGGTAAGTCTCCCTTCTCTCCTTATTATTCGTTCCTTACGTCCTTGTGGTTGTATGGCAGCGAAGCATCCGTTCAAATGACAGATAAACTGCCGCTGATGATGACGCGAGAGACCGAGGTAATGCGTACCACTAACGAGTCCCAATATGCCGAAACGTTCGTCGGTGTGGTGCTTTAATTATCTTCTGGCTTGTTGGAAGCTGAGATGAATCAGTACTATTTCAACACAAATCCTGCTACTCATTATCAATTCCAAAGGTTACGAGTACGTGGTGAGACGAAATTCTGAGGATACTCCAATCGACTGTGTAGCTCCTCCAGTTTAGGATCTCCGATTGCCTTTATGCCTGAGCTTTCATAGATGTTTACGCGTGTTATTCGGACCATAGTGAAGTCAATTTGCAAACGGTCTCATCACCTACGGAAAACTGTCAGTGGTTGTTCATGGGGCAGAATTTTCTTGACGTTTGACCTGTTTAATTGCCAGACGTTGCGGGATCTCCGAAGTGATGAAGCTGCACTTATAGCTACCAGGGTTGGCTTGCGCATTCCACATGAGGGAGGAGTCCAGTCGATAACTTGATCAGGAATGATGAAATCTACCACTTCGAAAAGATTGCCAATATTTCCTTGATTTATTTTTTTTCTTTTCGCTCTCGTAAGACTGCGTACCAGTATTTTTGTTGCACTACAGTATCTGAGCTATTTTTCACTTACAACTAACGTGTATCTTGCTGAACTGCAATTTCCTGCCACTTTTTTCATCTCTGCAACCTAACTTATCAAATGATTTGCTGCTGTGAATATCGTCATGACTCTACCCAGGTCAAGTTAGTCTTCCAGTTCATTAGTAAACATCGGGTCCTTACAGCACAGCATTTGGTAAGGAAGATTGAAGTCTATGCATGCTTCCCCCGTTACTTTGTACCTAAGCTACGTTTCCAACTCTCGGAGTTGAATTGCATTACGCTTCTACTGTGAGCACAGCGGGTCAGGACTTTATACTCTATCGGGTTGTATAGAAGTATTGATTCCTGTTTATCTGTCCATACGGTCTTGATATGAATAGAGTGTTTCTTCCTCCCCAGGTCTTCTAAAGCGTTTTTCTCACTTTGCCTCGGACATGCCGTAAGTTACCCTGCGATATTTGAGAATGGGTCCCATAAGGATTTCAATGGGCGCATCTTTGGCGTGCTAATTTTTTTGGGAGGGGATATTAACCAATTTCTGCACTATCGTCACATATGGTCTCTAACCACGATAGGTATGTGACGTGTGATACATTGGTTACCATCTGCTGCAAGCCAGACTTCCCTTGGTCAATTTGGTGCAGACTCTTTTGATCATGTTGCATGTAACCCGGCAAGTTAGTGCTTCGTAAAACTTTCCCAGATATACATCATCAACCACACCGTTCGGTTCGGTACCCTGTTTTTATCGTTTCGTGAACCAGCTAAGCGTATTGAGCTAAGCTTATTGACCCTAATTCTCCTAACTTACCAATTGTGATGCACGGCCCATGAGCTTCGCCCGTCTATAAAGCAAGCAATACTCCACAGACAGGCTCTTGACTTTTTTGTGTAGTTTCGTCGCAGTTAGACACAGACAGGAAAGTGCTAGACGGCCGTTTCGTCCTATTGGGACTCGTCAGTAGCGCGCACCCACCGAATCCTGCCGGATTCGAACCTAATAAATCCCCTGCTACTTACAAATAATCACTAGTCGCCTTAGCAGCCTACATGCCACCTCGGTTGGTGGCGGCTTGCAAAGGAAGTCGTTGCTCTGAGTGCTAGCCCTGTCCTCTGCACATTCACACCATGCAAGACCGTGGAGGATGAGCCACGCTATATCGCAATTAGATAGCAGTCATAGCGGTCCATCGCCGTCGCCCCTTGTTTAGCGGCTTAAGTCGCTGGGTCGCAAGGATAAGGTCGTGGTTTGGAATCCGGCAGGATTCGACGGGTGCGCGCTACTGACGAGTCTCAATAGGACGAAACGGCCGTCTAGCGCTTTCCTAGATGTTTGGTGGCTATCTGCCTGTGTCTAACTGCGACGAAGCTACACAAAAACCTAATAAATCCCCCTACTACTTACCAAGGCTCTTGACTTTGCACAAAAACGCCATTTTATTCGGTCTCATTTCTGTCATCGACTGCCCTCTTCTTCTTCTCTGTCAAGCTTCTACTACACCCGACGTGAGCCATTCGGTGTTTGTGCCGGGATCGGAGCCTGGAATTTCCCATTTCAGGTGAGGCTCTTCTCATTCACTTGCTTCAGCGTACTTTCCATCTGACTATTCTATCTCCAGCATGACGCTGGTCGTCTTTCCTATCTCACTAGTTTCCTCTCTGCGGAAGTCAAGCAGTGTGCGTTTCACCAAATCTGAATCAGGTGTTACTTTGGCGAACAGGCTTGCTTTCAATGTTTCTTCACCAAGCTATTACGCTCCACTGATGTTATCAACGCAGGTATCTAAGTACGCACGAGGAGTTTCATTTCATCTGTTGGATACTCTGACACTACACACGAACATTCAGGGATTGTCTGTTCACACCAACAAATGGGATTGCTATTCGGACTTATGTGCTTAAAAGACATTTCTTTCGTATCATTTATCAACGAAGATCTTACTGCCCTGTCCCCAACTTTGCCTTCATCAGTGGGCATCCACAGTCTTATTGATTAGACAGCTCCTCCCATTATTTCTTCGCATGTCTGTCGTGATGTAGTCGTCTGGTGGACAGTCACCATAAACCATATTGTTCGCCTGGCCAACACTTAGTTCTGATGTTTTCCCAAAGATATTAGCGTTTCGCTTTTTCTTAGTCGCACTTTTGTACTCCGCGCGGTGTTTCTGCTTGCATGGTTTTCTCTACCTTTAGCCTCTCCAAATGATCATCAGGTTATACTCTTCGTTGCACCCTTGTCCCCACTGACGTCCTGTTAATTGAAGTTTCCTTTCCAGCAACATACACCTATGCCGTACTATGTCATGAAGTCCAGATGCAACATAAGCACACCAATGTCAAGGCACCTTTGCCGTAATAATCCTTTTTGGACGGGTATCTTTCTTATCCTGTGTTTTCTAGCGAAACATGGATGGAATCTTCTTTTTTCACACCATAAACTTCTTATTGACGCACCGCTACACTGGACTGCAAGCGTTCATTCACGGGCTGGGATACTCTCTATAGTGGCATCTAATTCCATTCTCAGGGTCGTGCACTGCTGTAACCCAGTACGCAGATGCTGCAAGGGAGACGCTTGAAATCGGTACATCTTCCTCCCAACGCGCTAGGGTGTATATTATGTACACTGAAGTCAACTCACCAAGCCTCATTGTATTGCAACATGGGCATTTCGTAGAATGAACCGGTAACAATGGACACACACCAAAAGGGTGGACAGCTTACTACCATAGACTGCACTGAGTTCCGCACTGATCCGTAAACTCTCTTACGCTTCACCAATCGTCTTATTGCATGGCTCAGACACCTGGCCAGTTCGCATCGAAGACATTAAACGCTTGTCTGTGTTTGATCACAGTGTTTGCGAAGTATTCCTCACATCTGGTGGCAACACTGGGTGAGCAATGCTAAGGTCCGCCAGTTGTATTTTTGCTAAGAAACCTATTGCTTCATTTCAGTATCTGTTGAGCTTGAAACGCTTACTTTGACCAAGTCATGTCCTTCGGTTTGCTCGTCGTCCGGCTTCCCCGACGTGCCTTATACGCCTTGGCTGCACCAAGTTGATCGAAATTGCCGGGTTGCCAATTGATGACGTGGCATAGAGGCATGAACAAATCGACTGAGAGACTTGGTCAAGCTGGTGTGGGCCGTCTTCATGAACGATGGACTCTAGATGGTCCACACCAATGGTTGTAGACCGTATCAGACACGACACAGTCTGTGGTGTTCCTGCATCTGTTTGTCAACTTTTGTTCTTGACTGAATCACGGGGAATGCTGATCCTCAGCAATCCAAAAATTCCCATTTATTAGAATGAATCAAGGGAGGCAGAATCTGAGTAAGGAATTATTTGCGTTCCGGGCACATAGAATTTGCACCCCGGACACAATCACCAAGGAATTGCAGAGGATCGGCGACGCGCTAAGAGCGAATGGGTATCCAGATAAATTCATCCTCAAACATTTGAAAGAACGCAAGATAAAACCACCGAGGGTGAACGTACCCAAAAAAGAACTAAATGTGCATATTCCTTTCAAAGGCGACAGTGCGGCTGATGCCCTGTCCAAAAGCCTGAAAGACGCTGTTGAAAGAATCTATTTCGCGGCTCGCCTACGCGTAGTATTTTACAACAAGCCTTTATTCGCAAAACCTTTGAAAGACAAGCTGCCTCCGGCGACTCGATCAATGCTTGTTTATCTTTACTTGTGCTCCTGTGGGGCATCTCATAGGATTCGCAAACACATCCCAAAGTGGTTTTACAAAGGCGAAGTGAGGTCCAGTAACAGTTCCATCTTATCTCACCTTCTAGAGTGCAGTCACGCAGGGACGGAAAATGATTTTAGAGTCATCTATTCTGTTCCTGAACGTTTCTCGCGCGGATTCCGGAAGCATCTTCTGTCTATTGCGGAAGCTATCTACATCCGCCACCTCAAGCCAGAATTGGGTGTACAAAAACAGTTTGTACGTCCTTTACTTCTACCGCGGCCTACAATTTCGGCTGTGATTTCCCCTGTACATACTCGCCACTTTCCATGATCCCGTGATTTGTTGATTTGTTCCTGTTGAAATTAAACATTCTGTTCAATATGCAGCCCAATCCGGCATATTTAGCACTTTCTCGTCATCATGTACTATTTGAGTCTGATGAGAATTACCGAAAAGTATTCTTTACTCAGATTCTGCCTCCCTTGATTCATTCTAATAAACTTTTGTTCCATTCTGATTGATTTAACGCGCTTCCTACTTGGTTCCGTTTTCTACATTCGATTTACCCTTAGCCCCACTATTTTGCCGTTGTTATTTATTGTTATTCTTGCGATGTGAGTCGTGGCAACTTTTTCCACCGCTCTTCCATGCTCGGATCAGCTTCACTGAACTGAACTGAGCCAACAATCATTGGCTACAGCGTTTACGCACGTAACATGTGCATGTCTACTAATGCATAAATAGGGCTTTTGTTTCAGTGCTATTTTTCGCAGCTAACCTTGGTTAGATAGCCACCAAGCATCTGGGTGAACAGGCTTCCAACGAACGCCCACATAACCTGAAGGCCAATCGCTGTGCCCCTGAAATATGCACGGCAGCTGCGGTCGAGATCTAATACAATCCACATTCCACTCTATCGTGTGTGACACAAGATTGACCCCCAGAGCCACGACTTTCCGAACCAGTCCGTCTGTCACTTTGTGGCTTTTCTTTAACTATACCAGAACTTACTAACTGTTGTGAGGCAGTTGCGGACGCTTGATGGGGAATCGTTGCAATTGTACTCAGCCGTACAATGACCACACATCCAAAATAGTGCCGGAGGGCGATTGTATTCATTCGAACTCGTCAGCAGTTTGCTTCCATCCGCCTCATGAGAGTATAGACTTCACCACCCGGTCACAGTGGACAGCAACGACCGACTTTACTAAGTCCTGATATGGTGCAGCTTACTCTGCACTGACTTAGTTGTTTGTGAGGTACCCGCTTGAATCCATTCAATCAACGGCTTCCCAAACATAAGCGCCCAATTAATTTACATCATCGACTGGTTGAGCAGTGCATGCATTGTGAGAGCAATGTGAGAATTCAGCTAGCTGAGTTGGTGGTTAGATGCCTGTAGGCGTTCAGATTCACTGTTTCTGACTAGTCTATAGTGTGTATACTCCATCTGCCGCTTACAGGGCTAGAACATGCTGTCTTGCTGTTGGGAATTGGTGCTAAAGACCAATAGGGACGGCGCCTATCCAGCTAACCATGTAAGCACCGGTATTTTTGCTCGCATCCGTCACTATTTTCGCATCTCAACCGAACTACTGAGAACTGTTGCGCAGCCACATTATTTCGCGGTGTTTCACATTTTCTCGTGAATTATACTTACTGTTGATCGTGTAGGTCAGCCATGCGATCCGACAGTGAGAAAGGAACATTCAATGATGCATTACAAGCGGGATGTTTAGTTGCTTCTGTTGGTCGAATTCTCACTTGGATGCCTACCATGAATTTCTTATTTGATATCAAAGAATGGCACTGCAATGGGACTTTTGTACACAGCCAATACATGACCGACGTTTCGTGTGTGTACTACTAGAGAATGCCCTTATGGGAGTGCATGAATAGATCGGAAAGCTTTGCTGTGCAGCGCATTCGTGCTGCAGTCTCTTGATCACGCTGACGTAAGATTACAATCATTGTTGTCTCAGGATATGTACATGCGTTGAAAGCGTCGAGCTGGTACCAAAACCATGGTGAAACTAATCAGTCCTTGTGTCAGTTAACATTGTTACCTATCTGAGGTCCGTTCTAGACGCGAATGTCTCACTATCGGCAGTATGCTTGACTGAAATCCTAACGTGGGTAACATCCGCTAGTTACTCATCTAATCGATTCTCACTTGTCGACACTGGGAATCCTACGTTTAGGACCTAGCTACATGTCCCACATAGAGACCCTAGTTACAGAGACCATTGGGACTCGTCAGTTTTCCGCATCCCTAAAATAGGAAGGAAAGAAAACTTGTCATCAGTACATCAGCATGTGGCGCTGGCGGCTCGCTGTTACACGATCACCACCAGATGCACATGGACTGAGGATATTAGGAGGTTACTCACAACTGCGCAAATCCAAACCAGTGACCTTAGGATTACGTTACAGACTCCTTAGACCTATCGTATAGCATTAAACGGCCGCAACAGATGAACGCCTCGACACGGTTTGGGGACATGAGTTGGACCTACAGTAGATCTCGCGGAAACCTGACTGATACAGGTTGCTGCGCAATCCAGGGTAGCTGACGGAGCCAGTTCCTCATCGTGATGCTAGCTTCTGTGGCACGAATGTGAACGTGCATACAGTCAGACAGTGGAGACCGCTACCATATTTGAACCTGTCTGGATAAGTTACGTCCCTCAGCTCAGCAACACACAGTCGGAGGTGAGCGCGTGTGACCAATAAACTTAACCATGCTCTGTCCCCAATACTCTCCGGTCTATCAGGTCACGTCTTCTGCTTTTTTTCCCGGGCTTGGTTGGCGACATCCCAACCTGGGCAGCGTTACAATATCTAGCGGCTTACTTCACCAAGAAATGGCCCCGCGACCTCTAGACGCCAGTAGTTTATACCACTAATCCATAGGTGACGAAGGCTGACCGTCATGGCTTACGAGCGAAACGAGCTGTGCCATGGTTTTACAAGGGACAGAGTTGGCCTCTAGAACTACGGCTTCTTGTACATCGGATGTGTACGATATGGTCCTCAGAAAATGTACAGGCGTTTTTCTGATTGCTTGCGCGTAACGAATTCTTCGTTTCATTTACTGAGGATGGTTCTCTCAAAGTCGAACCTGATCCAACGCATCCGAAAAGACAGTTTACGACCGCGAAAATGCAATCAAACGTGTTTTCTAACATGGCGTTTCGTGGCCAGGTTCATTTAACCAGTCACCGTACCTCCATCATATTGGCATCTGTCATCTTCCGCTGTCATGCTAGTTTCTGTGTGCAAGTTATTAGGTTGATCATGAAGCTTAGTACCTTACCGCCTGCAAAGTTGGGCTTGGAGAATCCGCTGGTGGTTGGGTTGCTACAAGCAACCTCTACTGAGACCTCGGTTCACTTGAGGTGGACCTAGATCATTTCGATCACAAAGACCGTAAGTAAAATGGAAGCATTCTAGTGTTGCTCATCCCAACACTGGCATCCCAAGACCGCGGTTTCGTCCTGGTTGGGACTCACCAGTTGGAGATAGCCTGAGTTGGGCTGGAACTCAGAGCCTAGTGGCTCATTTGTTTCCGCTGGACCAAGCGTTGCTCGTGGATCTCAGGAGCATAGTGCTTATGGCGTCAACCATGAGCCACTAGGCTCTGAGTTCCAGCCCAACTCTGGCTATCTCCAACTGATGAGTCCCAATCAGGACGAAACCGCGGTCTTGGGGTACCAGTGTTGGGATGAGCAACACTATACTGTTTCCATTCTACCTTACCGCTTATCCGCCGATCGACCTGATCACTAATATTTTAAACCTTACACAATCGCCTCCTAAACTTCACCCGTATGTCCTCCGTGCTACTTTTTGCTGTGGTTAATCTGACCCATTTTCATTCTTCTCTTCTCTCCCAGATGGCCGTGTGGAAGTCTGCACCAGCTGTGGCCGCGGGCAACGCGTTCATTTTCAAACCATCTCCTTTGACTCCACTGACAGCTGTTCGCCTCACTGAACTGTACACCAAAGCTGGGTGTCCCAATTGTCTATTTTCTGTGGTGCTCGGCGGATCCAACGTCGGCCAAGCGCTTATCAACAACCCGAACATTTCCAAAGTTTCATTCACGGGTAAGCTTTGGAAGATACCAACCAGTTGTTTTCAAACCTTTCTGAAGTCATGAATTCTCGATCGGTTCTAAGTACTTTCCAGGATGTCGAGTGACTTTGGAAGATAGGTTTTGATCAAGTTGAATTTTACATATCTTGTATTGGGCTCTTCTTGTATACATCCTGTATACCCTATTCTTGGTAGTAAAATCCACAGCCCAGCAATCATCTGTCCAGGTTTTCTGGTACTCAGGATTTCTTTTCTTGCGGAAAACATTTCCACGGTGACGTTTTATCATCCATGTAACGAACATGCTTCAGCCTATAGCACTTGCTCATTTATTGGCCGGTGGCCGAAGGGACTGCACCCGGAGTTCACTGGTTCGAGTCCGCGTAGGTGCGGATAATTTCGCGGTATATCCAGTCCACCCGTGATTGCTAGTATTCTCGTGACACCGAAACGTCGTTATGGTGTGCCGACGTATTGTTGACGCCCCACTTGGTCGATTTAAACCAAGTAGGCCGGGTCGCGCTACCACCGTTTGCCCAATACCACTGTTTATGGTCTCAGTTAAGTTGAGGGTGATCCCTTTGTTTCCGCTTGTGAACTGAGAATGTCGCAGAGCATCGACCTTGTTCCGTCTTCACAAATCTGCCGGGCTTCATCTACCGTTCATCTGTCGTAGTTGGGCGTACACTGTTCCATCTGCATCCGTAATGATCCATAATTTCCCCTATTCCATCACACATGTCCGTTCTCTCCTTAGTAGCTATTTGTAGTACTCTAAAAACGGACACACTCACCCACATTTCTTTTGAGATAGTTGCGGTGTTATCATTCCCACACATGGCACTCTGCAACCGTTTTCATCTTTCGTTTGATTGATCATTCACGTATAAGCGACCGCTGCTACGGACCAAACTGACAGGTGTCTTGGCCGGAGCTCACTTATTTCCACTGCTATCGCTTGCTATAACGTTCTGGATTACACCTTTGGGTGTTGGTATGCGCTCTTTGCTTTTGGATTATGACGCGCAGTGGCATCCCGGATGACTACGTACGTTATTGTGGGTTCTGGTCATTCTGTCCCCTGGGAATACAAATGACGCCCCAAATGACAGCGCCCATTTGTGTCTCGCCAAACCAGGGTCCATTACATAACTACTCCGAGAACCTCGTAGTGTTGTGTGATCTCACTATCCATATGGGTACATTTGGTGGAGTTTACTATACCTGATGTAATATCAAGTGCTCAATCTGCACACTTCTTGTCGTTGGCATGGAACACAAATTACCGACTTTTTCGTTCAGGTAGCGTCGTCGGTGGTAAATCGGTGTTATCCTCCTCGGCGCATCGCATCGTTCCAGCTACCATCGAACTCGGCGGGAACTCTGCCTTGATTATAATGCCCGATTCCGATCTCGATGAAGCAGTCAAGGGGGCGTTGATGGCCAACTACTTCACTCAGGGGCAGGTGTGTTCCAACGCTAATCGCGTGTTTGTTCACAAGTGAGTCATCAACTCTTGCACATCTTCCGTTCACATTTATCCCGTGACTTGTATTGTCATCTTTTCAAGACCTTAAGAGCCCATTGCGTCGCCATCGCAGCGTTTAGCCTCTCTGCCCGTTCGATGGCTTTGCGGCGCTTGTTTCCGCACATTCTGCCGCCACTTCGACTGCGACCAGGTTAACGTGCGAATACTCCCGTGGTCTATCATGGCTCTAATCAGTTAACCAAACTGTTGTATAATATGGGGAACGAATTAGCACAACTCAGGTTTGTTTCACAATTTATCACTACACTATGATCTTGAACAATGAACAATGATTTGCGGGTATGCGGGTGTTCTCCGAGCTGGTTGATTTGGCTGCAGACGTTTCGTCGTCAGACTAGACGACATCATCAGTGCGATTTATGCGGGCCACTTACAGATCCAAGTGATTATTGATCACTTGATTCGAACGTCAGGAGTCGATTGGTCCACGTGAACTGACCGTGTAGTCAGCTCTCTCGTACTGTTGGCTAGAGTCCGCCTCAATGAGGTTCCTTCGTCCAGTTGATATTGGGCGGACTATTCTTTTGACCCTCAGTGTCTCATAGGCAGTGTCTAAATCTAAGTGCCTGTTGATTGAGTTCTCTCCCGAGTACCAAGCCTCGATGAACTCGCGTGCTTTTCGACTTTTTGCTCGGCCTATGATCCTGACATTCTCCAAATCGAATTGATGATTCTCGGCGTCCATATGTACCGACATCAGGGAGTTCTGGTCATGTCGGCGGATGGCTAGGCTATGCTCATGTAGCCTAGTGCCGAGCTTTCTTCCTGTCTGACCCACATAGTATTTGTCACAATTTTTGCAGTGGATTTTGTAAGTCACACCACTTGTTTCTTCTATGCCAAGCCGGTTCTTGCCATTGAAAAGGTTGTCTCTGATTGTTTCTGTCGGCTTGTGAGCAACTCTGATTCCGAAAGGTCGTAGCAGTCTCGCCGCCATCTCAGAGATGCCGTTGATGTATGGTAGAGTGATTGTCCTTTTATCCGTTTCTGATGTTTGATCTTGTATCGGCCGTTTTATTGGTGTTGTACAGCGTAGAATGAAATTGCTAGGATACTCATTCCGTGCAAACATTTCGAACAGATGATCTTCCTCCGCTTTTCTCAGCTGTGGAGTGCTGCAATAGGTCTGTGCTCTTTTAAATAGAGTTGTTACGCAGCTGCGCTTGTAGACTGTTGGATGATTGCTGCGATAATTCAGTATTTGGTCTGTATGCGTCGCTTTCCGATAAACTGTTGTCTCCAGTTGTCCAGCAGCATGTCTTTTTACTAACACATCCAAGAATGGTAGCTGATCATTGTTCTCCTCTTCCGTAGTGAAACGGATATCAGCAAACGTGGACGATACTTTTGTCATCCTAAAGCGCTCGAAACTGGAAGAAACACATCAGTTAATAAACAACACGTTTACTGGTATCCGTTTCACTACAGAAGAGGAGAACAATGATCAGCTACCATTCTTAGATGTGTTAGTAAAAAGACATGCTGCTGGACAACTGGAGACAACAGTTTATCGAAAAGCGACGCATACAGACCAAATACTGAATTATCGCAGCAATCATCCAACAGTCTACAAGCGCAGCTGCGTAACAACTCTATTTAAAAGAGCACAGACCTATTGCAGCACTCCACAGCTGAGAAAAGCGGAGGAAGATCATCTGTTCGAAATGTTTGCACGGAATGAGTATCCTAGCAGTTTCATTCTACGCTGTATAACACCAATAAATCGGCCGACACAAGATCAAACTTCAGAAACGGATAAAAGGACAATCACTCTACCATACATCAACGGCATCTCTGAGATGGCGGCGAGACTGCTACGACCTTTCGGAATCAGAGTTGCTCACAAGCCGACAGAAACAATCAGAGACAACCTTTTCAATGGCAAGAACCGGCTTGGCATAGAAGAAACAAGTGGTGTGATTTACAAAATCCACTGCAAAAATTGTGACAAATACTATGTGGGTCAGACAGGAAGAAAGCTCGGCACTAGGCTACATGAGCATAGCCTAGCCATCCGCCGACATGACCAGAACTCCCTGATGTCGGTACATATGGACGCCGAGAATCATCAATTCGATTTGGAGAATGTCAGGATCATTTTCCGAGCAAAAAGTCGAAAAGCACACGAGTACATCGAGGCTTGGTACTCGGGAGAGAACTCAATCAGCAGGCACTTAGATTTAGACACTGCCTATGAGACACTGAGAGTCAAAAGAATAGTCCGCTCAAGGTCAACTGGACGAAGGAACCTCATTGAGGCGGACTCTAGCCAACAGTACGAGAGAGCTGACTACACGGTCAGTTCACGTGGACCAATCGACTCCTGACGTTCGAATCAAGTGGTCAATAATCACTTGGATCTGTAAGTGACCCGCATAAGTCGCACTGATGATGTCGTCTAGACTGACGACGAAACGTCTGCAGCCAAATCAACCAGCTCGGAGAACACCCGCATCCCCGCATCCACATCCCGAGCTACAAATTTTCTCGCGAACAGTGATTTGTCACGGGATAAAAGCAAGTGCTTGACACGTCCCGTAGGATGGTTGAGGTGAATATGATGAAATCATAATATACCTGGGTCATCTACCGAACATCTGCCGAGATGAATACTTTGATAATGTAGATCAGTGTAAAATTTTAAAAATGGAGCGTAAACGTTCAGAAAATACGCTGGGGTGCAGTGATCGTTGATGTAAGGAGTGAGAAAAGTAAAATGTAATCGCTCACCTAGGTCCATTTGATACATAAATCCTGTTGAAAAGCATGCTTGGCGTAATCCACAATAGGGGAGTTTGGATAACAAAATGCTGGCAGCTAAGAGTAACATCTAATCCATTTTGAAATGGTCCAAGATAGGAGAAGTTGCAAATGGGTCTGGAAGTGCGTTCCAGGGTTTGCAATCTTGAAGGGAAAAGTAATTCTGTCGACACCCTAGACGGCTATATTGTTCCTTCAACTTGAAGCAGTTACCCCTGAGCTGCGTGTTGTGGCTAAGTTTCAGCAAATGGCGGCATACGTGGTTGGGGGCACTCAGTATCTGATACGCTAATATGAGATCGCCGCTCAGCCTTCGACAGCGTCCGCTGAAAATTCCCACCAACTTCAGCCTTGGATGATAAGAGTGATATCGCAGGCCCATTACATTCTTTGTTGCTCTTCGTTGTGGTGTCTCTAACGCTTTTAGGTCGCGTCTTAACCAAGGTTGTCAAGCTTGGATGGCGTATTCAGCATGCGGGTGCACGTAGGAATTATGCATCATTGGGAAGATTGATGGGTCACATCTCCCGTATGCCCTTCGCAGCATGCCGACGTGCTGGTTGCCTCTTTTGCAGCTGCCTCGCCCTGGTTGGAACAGGTGAGATCACTCTGTACGATCACACCAAGGTCACGTTCCTGGGAGCTATTCTGCAATCCTTGGTCCCAAGTAAATAGGTGTAGTTATGTCTATGGCGTAATTGTACAACGCGACATTTGTCTAGGTTAAACGGTCGGGCGTTTTGAACTGACCAGTTCGACACTGTGTTAAGATCGCACTGGAGCCGTTCGTGGTCGTCCGGTCCTCTGATCCTTTTCCATATCTTGATATCATCAGCGAAAGATAGGAAATCGGAAGTAAGTGATCTCGCCAAATCCTTAATGAACATCAAGAATAGACGAGGTCCAAGCACCGAGCCTTGTGGTACATCACACACCACATCGAAAGCATCGGCAATGATTCTCTGACTCTCACCATTAGCCGTCGTTCGTGTAGAAAATTGTCAATCCAACTCAGGATTGGGTCGCCAGTACCGTAGTTCCTAAGCTTCTGAAGGAGAATTCGATTTATTTATTTATTTATTTATTATCTATGCGATCAAACGCTTTTGAAAAGTCCAGGTAGATGACATCGACTCCTGCTCAGTCAACAACGGCTTCAGTCCAGCTATTACATACAAATAAGAGTTTAGTATTACATGAACGCCTTTGACGGAAGCCATGTTGCTCTGGGACTATTCATTTGGGGCTTTCCAGATACTGCATCAGCGCATCTGCGATGATTGATTCCATCACTTTGGATAATACGGGTAGTCGTGTTATGGGACGGTAGTTGGCAGGATCAGTGCGGTTACCTCCTTTATGGTTAGGAGGGATGACCCCTCGCTTCCATCTTTTAAGAAACATTACCAAATGTCATTGGCATCTCATTTTTGTAAACTTAGTGTTACTGTGAATTAGACATTTTAATATGTAGTAATAATAATATGTATATTTCCCTTGATCCGAGAACTGTCTGTAGCGGCGCGGATTATTTTGTACATTAGTAACCATGCTGTTGCATGGGCGATGTGCACCTGTGCAATTTTGGGGGCACGCAATTCATGTAGTTGCGTTTTTGTGGAAATGCATTTCAGATAATACATTTGACAGATGATACACAATCGCTTATCATGAAAACCATGCTGCAACTTATTTGTCAGGCCCAACATATTACTTGAAAACTTGACTATTCACAGGTTTGACGCTCTGATCATTGTTCGGTAGTTATACAGATTTAAATTTCTAATTACTCCCATAATACAGTAGTTAGAATATGGCGAATTAGAAGTATAATGAGTTAATGTCGAAATCAGGTTTATGCATGTGATAGCAGTGTGTAATCAGAGGAGCAAAACGCATTTACCGGAAGAAGCAAGCAGCCAGATTGCCACAAACGAACGGACTTGATGTTTGGACCTTTTCGCGCCCAAGTGAGTTTGTTCGACCGATGTAAAGGAAGAGTAAAGAATGCAGGACTGTCGTGTTATAGAGAGGGTTATTTATGATATCATTTTCGCCGAGATTGCTGCTGTATGAAACGTTTACCCCTGAAGAGCCGACTTCTGCGACGAGACGCGGTAGGTACTAGGACTCGGAGTAGTCACGTGTGCGCAAGTGCATATGCACGGTTCAATTGTTCTGAGCGTGGATGCGATGGTCCACTGGGTCGCATACACAAAGCCAGACGTGGCATCACGTGATCAACCTTGAGCCAAACGCCCAAGGTCATAGTGTTGGCAAGGCACATGCACGATAGCCGGGGCCTGTTGTGACCGTGCCCATGCTCTGCATTGTGAGCGGCAAGTGTGTCGTCAAGTGTCGCACAAGATTATGACGAATTCTCCGCAGCTGTATCCCGACTGGTAGTCGTCATACATCCAGTATGCTTTCGGTGGGCACTTCGTGCTTTTTAGAACATCGGCTGCACGAACTTCCCTCGAACTCCACACGCGATTTGTGAATCGCAGCCCCATGTGAAATTTATGAGTAGCATCGTCTGCGTGCAGCTTGGTGCGAAACCGTCCGTGGCGTGTAGTGTTGAGAGGTCACCAACTAATATCCCTTTCTCTATCAGTTTAAACATTCAACAACAAACCGGCGAAACAGGTTCGTCTAATTTTATTCCTTAGTTTTCCCATTTAATTAACGTCAAGCTACAATTTAAGTACCCACGTTCTTTTTGCTGCATAACGTACCTACCGAACTTTCACTATTTTTTACTGTAATAACTACTTTTTCGGTATTGGTACCAGGATTCACAAGCCGAATCATCTATTCGTGGATCTCTTGTCCTTAGTTGCTTACGGATGCTTTTGTAGAACAACGGTTTATCAATACCAGCTAGTCTGTCCACTGCCCGCATTTTTCGCTGCCCAGGGAGGACACCATTTTCGCGATTTGACTAGCCCTTCGAATTTTCCTCTGTAGACCAACTGATGAGCTTTGCAATGAAGAATGAGCTGTTCAAGGCTTTTCAGCTTTGTTTAATTATGGCGATTCTCTGGTAACACATGTGAGATTCCATGCCGCTTTGGCTTAATCACCGTACGATGGTACATTTATCTTTCCGGTTTTATAGATCTATTGCCAAGGCCTTTCAGGAGAAGCTGATTCCAGCCGTAAGGAATATTCGTGTTGGGGACCCTTTTGATCCTGCCACTTCAATGGGCGCTTTGATTTCTCCAGAGCACACAAAGAAAGTCCAGGGCTATATTCACAGTGCTATCTCGGAAGGGGGCATGGTTCTTATCGGTGGAACACAACCCACTTTTCCACCGGACTGCGAACTCGATCCGACGAACTTTCTCACCCCCTGCGTGGTAGCCAACTGTCACGACGATATGCTTGCTGTAAAGGAGGAAATTTTCGGTCCCGTGATGACGTTGCTCGAGTTCCAAGACGAAGAGGAAGTGATTCAACGTGCAAACAACAGGTAGCCGGTGATCCGCTTATTTTCTCTCAATATCTGTTGCTTTTTCTTGCAACTTGCTTTACTTGAAGTTATTTTCTAGCCATGTTATGGTTAATATTCAATGCGAGCTCGAACACAAAAAGCTTCGCAATGAGCTGCAAGTGGTTTTGGATGACTGAATAACCTCCACTTATCCATTGTGGATAATTGCTTTAATTTCTTATGCAGCAATTTTCCTTTGTCTATTTATTCAACAACATGCATGGCCACGGACCAAGTGCAGATACTATATACTACTGAGGTCTACTATTCCGCTTATTACACTAACCATATTTAGATGTACTCATGAGTAAGGGATTTTAATGTAGATAATTGAGGTTCATCACAGCCAGTTTCCAAATGAGATAGTCGTCTACACGCCCGGAAAAACACTAGACTGCAGTTTCAGCCTGTTGGACATCATGAGTAGTGCGCATCCATTGGATCCATCAGGATTCGAACCAATGATCAGTAATGGCCAGTCAGCAGCTTATAACACTGGGCCACAGGGTACAGCTTCGGACCGTCATGATTTACAGGCTAACTGTGATATAGCGCGTCTTATCCTCCACTGCCATGCAAGTTACGAACGTTGCAGAGGACAGGGTTAGCCCCGAAAGACTGGCACCACGTGGAGGCTTTTCGGTTAGCCAGCCAATAAGTGGGCAAATATTGCGCACTGGGCTTTTCTGCAGCGACATCTGAGGCTCCAGTTTGGCGTACACTCATGGAGGGAACAAGAATTCTCGGCGCTTAACTCGCCTATAAAAGTGTATTCGAAACGTGTGCAGTCAGTCTGAGCGTACGCATCTTGCTTCTACCATTGATCAGCCGACAACTATACTTCTCTTCACTTGTAGGCTGCACTACTCCTCCGCATTTGACAGGGAAAAGAAGGAGAGCAAGCGATGACAGCGAAATCTGTGACCTGACATAGAGCTAACCTCAATCTATCATGTTTGGAACATTTATTTCCGGGTTCGTGTTCCATTGTACTTGCCAGCAGCCACAGAATGTTCCAACTACCATCATCATCATCATTATACACGTTAGCTAGAGGTGGGAAACATCTCAGCTACTTTGCCGCAATACATAAAAGAAAAAAGTGGGAAATGCAACAGGTGCAAACAAGCTGAGCTACCGGTAACGGATGGGCATCGTTCCGGTAAGCTACCAGCCGGCTATTATGCAGCAAAAAACAAATTTACCATGCAAAATTATATAACACTAATTAGTGAGCTCGTGGTTGGAGGGGGAGACTAAGAGGGATGGGGTGGGACAAATAAACTCACAGCACAAACACTACTGAGGTCGGCTCCTAGCCAAGTCAACAAGTGTATCCAGCCAAACGTGTTCATCGTCTTTCGGACTCTAACCAGGGAGCCGAGAGGCTCCAACTGAGGCTGGCTTCGAAGTAAGGGCCTTTATTCCTCTCGACCAAGTCATCACTTGGCCACCTCTCCTCTTCTTCCATCCACACCCCGGCAGGCCAATAACATTGTTTGCGCGAGTCGGTGGGCTTTGATGCGCAACACGTGGCCGAGCCATCGGAGCCTGGTGTGTGAAATGACGGTGTTGAGCGGTTCATTCCCTTTTCCTGTACCATAAATATGGCGTAGAACACGCTGGTTGCTCACTGGGTGTTCCCACCAGATGTGAGCCAAACTGCAAACGCACCGATTGTCGAACGTAGCTAGACTCTTTATATCAGCTGATCTAAGGGGCCAGATTTCACAACCATATAGTAGGGTCGAACGTACCGCTGCATTGTACACTCTGCCTTTCAGGGCAAGAGTGATGCTGCGCCGGCGCAATAAGTGGCGAAGATTAGCAAAAGCGCCTCAAGCTTTTGCTATAGATTCTTGATCTCATCTTCAATCCCAGGGGCGCTGATACAACTTCCCAGGTAGTTGAATTTTTGAACGACTTCCAGCTAATCCTCACCAAGGGATTAGCGAAGGAGGGGGTCCATGCCAATCTTGGAGGAGCGCTTTGTACTTCGAGGGTGCGAAGCAAATCACGAAATGACGGACAGCTAGTGTTAGTCTGTCTAGTGCAGCTTGTCACTTTCGGGAACTGTGAAAGATGAGGACAATATCACCAGCATACTCCAAGTCAAGAAGTCGTTCATCTGGGTTCAGCTCCACACTAAGTTGTGTTCTGTGAATACGATTTCCATGACTTTGTCGATAGCGAAGTTTAGGAGGAAAGGTGACAGTGGGCATCCTTACCTTACACCTTTGGAGATGTTGAAGGGCGACGACAGCTTGCCGTAAGCCATCCCTCTGCCTGAGCTACGCGCGTACTATGCTCGGATAATATTTGCATATTTCTCGGGTACACCTTTCCTGAATAGACAATCCCAAAGTGCACTTCTATCCACCGAATCGAATGCACCTTTTTTATCGAGGAACATGACAGCGGTGGGCTGCCAATATATGTGACTGTGCTCCAACAACTGACGCAAAGTGGAGATGTGGTCAAGGTTGCCACGACCTCGACAAAATCCGGCTTGATCTTCACGAGCATGGTTTTCACGAGTGCCAGTCAGACTGTGAAGGATGACAGACGCAAGCAATTTGGAGGCGATGGAGACCTTACTGATTCCTCTATGGCCGCTGCATTCCGATCGTCAGCCTCCCTTGAAAACTGGGACTATGACGAGGCGGATCCAATCGGTTGGGCAGTTTCCTGCTGCCACATTGTCACTAGGAACTCGTATAAATCATCCACAAGAGCAGGTCCTCTGAATTTGAAGGGAGTCGGAGGAAGGTTCTCTGATCCCGTGGCTTTATTTAGCTTTAGAAGTCCGATCTCACGTTCGACTTCTGATCGAGAGGGTGGATCTAACGGGGCAACCCACGGAGCAGGGCGATTAGTGGCCGGCGAGAAATCTAATAAATCCGACCGATTAAATTGCCTTTCAAAGTGCTTAGCCCAACGCTCCAAGCGTTTTGATAAGTTGTGGATAGGCTGTCCACTCTCGTCACGTATAGTTTCACTAACACCAGGTCTCCTGCTGCCCGTTTCCCGTATCAACCGGAATAAGTTACGATGGTTACCAAGGGAAGTGGCCATTTCCATCTCTGAACTACGATGAGACCACCAGGATGCGCGATCTCTCTTCAGCCTAGCACGGAGTTTTCTGCGAGTCTCGTTGTGTTCGCTTCCAGCTGGAATGTGCCGGCGAGCATCGATAAGTTCCAGAGACTGTGAAGAGACCCAATGTCCATGTTGGCTATTAGACTTACCACATGAGGATTTACCTGCTGCTAATAAGGTCTGGTGAACATGAGACCAGTGCACTTCAATTGCATCCAGTGTGCGCTTACTCAACTCGCATGTCAGCGTACTTTGATAGGCATCCAGAACAGCTGGTTTCGCCAGCTCACAGCGTCGTCGTGGTCGTCCATTAAAGCGCATCCTCTGATCAGCATATATAAGTGCATGGTCGGTGTCCACACATGTGCTCCAAATCGCGCGACAGTTCTGGACGCAGCCTCTTCAGCGATAACTTATCACAATATGATCGACTTACGTCCATAGCTGGTGGGCGCCAAGTCGCCCTGCGGCTGGTGCTGTGTCGGAAGTTAGTGCTCGCAAGAAATAAGCGAGCATCTTCGCACAAATGAAGTAACCTGTCACCGTTATCATTATGGGAGCCTACACTGTGGTTGCTGCCCAGATGCAGTTCATCAGTGGATAATATTCCAACATGAGCGTTCAGATTCCCAGTCAGCACTACAGTGTCCGAGCTTCTTCTGTGGTGAAGGAGCTCGTTCAGTTGCAGGTAGAAGTCGTCTTTTACCGTGTGCTCGCTACAGTTTGTGGGTGCATAGGCAGCGATAACCAGTACACACCTGTTAGTCCCACGCGACTTCGAAGCTTTGAACGAGCCAGCCAATCGGACCGCACACATCCGGCTACTGATTGGAATCCAATCAACCAGAGTAGCTTCAGCCCGGGGACTCAGGTCAATACCAGCACCAGCTTGGCCGGTGCTCGAAGCTGTGTCGTCACCGGATAGGCGCAATGAGAAAGTGCTGCTAGTGTCACCTGAAGGGGATCGCAGAGTGAGCACAGAGCTCGAGTCTTGCAGGCGGGTCTCCGATAAGCAGCAGACATCGATCGAGAGGGTCTCTAATGTTCGAGCAAGTGCTGCGTGTTGACCGAACTGTAGCATTTTGCGTACATTGAGGCATGCCAATCTGAAGGATGATCGGGGCTCCAGATGGAAGATAGTGAACTAGGCTTGGCCGCTTTGTTGGACATGGGCTTGTCGACAGGAGAGAAGTGAAGCTCCGCGTCCACATGTGCATTGAAACTGTCAGATAAAAGCCTGTCAAAGCAAAGTGGGGAAGGGCCGAGAATTTGGGGTTCAAAACAGCGGGGATATAAGTGAAGTTGGAAGGGGACGGCAAGAGTGAAAAAGCGTAAAAGGGGGAATAAGAAGACGGGAAGTCCTGAGCATTAGCATCCAAACCCCTATCCACTCTGCTCGATGCATCGGATAGGACACCGTTGATTATCACCTACGTTGGCCAGACCATCAAGAAATTTTTTGACAAAAGATGCATAGTATTGCGTGGGCAGGAGAACGATTATGGTTCTCAACCAAAGCCTTTGGTTCAAAAACCTGACCGCAAGGCAACGGGTTTGGCGTTGGGCTACAAAGAAGTCCGTTTTAAGGAATAAGACGCCGCCCTCATTCCAACCACCAACCTGGAGGACCAGGAGGCAGAGTATGTCCGGCGTCTAACCATTAACCAATCTAGTATGAGTGACTCTGAAGGTACAAAAAAGCACCACCCAGCATAGCTCCATGCATCTCTGAAGCACGTAAACCATCGCACTACGGTAAGGTCAAACTAACCACTTCATATCCAACGTAAGTTCTAAGAACTCAAGCGGGAATGCATGCAGTCGGGGGCCAGGTAGATCCTACGTCGACATACGCTTTATCCATTCATGAACCATTTATA